TGAATCCAACTTATTCAGCCATTGTTCCTTTACTCATTGTAAAAAATCCTATTTAGTTTGCTTGCAAAAAACATGTCCAAAACACACTGGTATTAAACTGAGCTTTGCCAGAAAGGCACTCCTGCTGCTGCGCCACAGCTTGCAAAAGGTGGTGGATACTGAAAGTCATGTTACAAATGTTCAGAAGAATGAATATACCTCATCAGACTACTGCTTCTGTCCTTGTTTAAGCCGGGTTAGAGTTGTTTTTCTTCCTAGTAGCTGGTGCAGTGCTGTGTTTTGGCTTTAGTCTGACAGCAACGCTGAAAACACACCGATGGTTTAGTTGTTGCTTAGTAGTGCTTACTCTGATGAAGGACTGCTCTGTCTCATGCTCTGACAGTAAGGAGAGACACAAGAAGCTGGGAGGAAGCAGAGACAGGACACCTGACCCAAACTAGCCAAAGAGGTATTCCATACCACAGCACGTCATGCCCGGTATATAAACTGGGGAAAGGCACCTGGAAGGGACCAATCGCTGCCCGGGTCGGGCGGGGTATCAGTCGGCGGGGGGTGAGCAATTGTACTGTGCATCACTGCTGGTTATTGTTTTCTTTTCCTTTTCCCTTCTAGTTTTATATTCTCTGCCCTTATTATTTCCCTTATCATTATTATTTTTGTTATTATTAGTGTACTTTAGTTATTAAACTGTTCTTATGTCAACCCACGGGGTTACTTTCTTTCGATTCTCCTCCCCATCCCGCCCGGGCTGGGCTTAAACCACAATGGCTTCTCACCAGCATATCCTAGCCGGAACTCCGAGGCCACTAAACCTCTAAATACACAGGAACAACGACCGGTCCCTGGTACGTCCTGGTGTACACAAGGGACAGCGGCTCGCGTACCAGCTCCCGCACAAGCCCATCTCTCGCACCGCGAAGCCGGGCGGCCGCTGCGGTAGGGGCGGGGCGTCAGGCGGGCGGACCAATAAGAGGCGGAGGGGCGTGTCCGGGGCGGTGCTTGGTTGTGGCGTGTGTCTCCGCGCGGGTGGGCGGGATCCGCTGGTTCCTCGGTGTGTGTGGTAGCGTGGCGCCTGCGCCGGGGCCGGCCTGCGAGGGGGTGAGGGTGGGCCGGCGGGCCGGCGGGCGGTGGTTCGTCCTGCGCCCAGTCGCGGCTGCCGTGGTTTGCACTCACCCGGTGCTCCTCTGCAGTACCATGTGCGTGTGTTCACGCGTGATTGCGGCCCTGGGGAGGTGGGAGCGGGGGAAACTCGGTTTCTTTGCCGGGAAGAGAGCTGACTGACTTGGCAAGTAAATCACTGCCTGAAATGGGAAGTTTTTAGGCCTTACAGACCACCTCAAAAATACGGTGTCTGGAGCAGATCACCCTCATGCATGGCATCACAGATATGTGCAAATACCTTGTGTCCGAATAAAGAATGTCGAGTGTGTGCAGTTGAGATTACCTTTGTAAATGGAATCCTGCTTTGTGTGGTATGGTACTGAAATCTTTTTCATCTTACTGTACCTTAAGTAAGGGTTCTCAGTAGATCTCACTGTACCCTGGGCAATATTAGCAAAGTGTCAGCTGGGATCTGGTAAATACTGTTCTTTGACCAGCATCCTGTTAGATATCCTTCTGTGGGGCGGGCTGCACAAGAAGCTGCGCCAGTAGATCTGAACGAGAGCCCGGACATCTGGACTCTTACCAGCCACAAACCTTGGGAGAAGTGAACGGGACAAGTCGGGAAGAACTGGAGAAAGAACATCGGGTGAAACTGAAGAAAGAGCATCAAGATAATTTCTGAGGACTGTAAATTTGGAAACAGGAGGATGCTTAAGACAAGATAAAGAATGTGTAGTCAAGGGGAAGTGGAAGTGATGATGTAATGAGTAGTGATAGCAGAGAACTATGTTTAGAAATAATTACTCAAGCAAATGGTGCCCGAACAGGGGCAAGACAGAGGGCCGTGGCTCGGCGAGCGGTGAGGACACCCAGCCAAACTCTGAAAGGCTGCAGCAATTAACTGATACTTCTGACTGAGGTAAGCGGCTGGGAACGGGGACATGGGAAATTCAGTATCCCCCGAGCACAAATCGGTGTACAGAGTACTAGTAAAATTCCTAGCAAAGAAGGGGGTTACTGTGAAAGAAGATAGACTGAAAGACTTGTTAATATGGGTCTCGACCCATGCCCCTGAGGCGACATCAACTAATATTTATCAGAAGGGAGTATGGGACAAGATTGGGGTCTATCTCTGGGTCTGTGCCTCCACCCTCACATCCTTCCACAGTGGATATTGTTCTGACGGATTCAGTGAATGCCTTAACTTTCCTCTTTGCTGTCTCCCAAGTTTTGTCTTCTAGGATTGTCAAAGAAAAATCCCGTCTCAGCATCCTGTCAAGTGAGGTGCCTTGATCTCGTACGCTGGCCAACTGAATCCCTGCTGGGCTTGGTCATGCAGCAGCACTCCTGTCTACTGATACAATGAGTTAACTGCTTACTGGAGGAACAAACCCATAGAAGTATTGATTCTCTGCACCTTGAGCTAAGTTGCAGCTGAGTGAGGTAAACTCACTGCTAATGAGTCTTTTAAACTTTTGTGCCCTTTAGACCTCAGAGGGTTTTTGGCTGATCAGTAGCTTTGAAAACCAGGCTGTAAGGTGCATGTTGATGTAGCATGTCTCTTGAAAGTGCATGTATTTCTGTATTAATCTTACTTATCTACTGTGATTGTCCACTACTATATATGTTAATGCAGTCCCTTGCATGATAATGGATAGTTTAGATGGAATCTATCAATTTTTATTATCTTTCATGTCTCTAGTAGATTAATACACTTGCTGTGCATGTTTGCTGCTTGGTTTCTAGTTTTTATGTATATATATATGTGGATATAAAAATGTACGTATATGTGCATGTATGGTCTTAGGGAGAAATTCCAGACTACATGAGTCTTAACATGTTGGTGCAGACATCTTTATTTTTTGTTTTAATGGCAAATTCCTTCTGGATTTATAAACCCATCTGCCAGAAAACAGACTTTGGTTATCTGCTACTGAAATTCTAATTGGCACATCCATGCAACCTGCAGCCTCTGTCTTCTAAGGAAAGTCTCCTGGCACATGCTTTTCCAAGGCAATGGGAGTAATTTGCAAGCAAAATTTCAAGCTTCAGTGGTGAAAAACATTCAAGCTGAAGATCTGATAATGTATTTGAGATGTCTGGCTGCATACCTGAGTTTACAGGGTTAGGTAATGTACCTAGTTTTAAATGTAGTAGCTTTTTCAGTGAGTGACTGGATTTTCAAGGGAAAATGTAGGGACATTAAGGAATTGAGATGTCTGTTTAAAGCAGTGCATGCTGGAAATATCCAAAACTTTGCTTGAAGAAACCATGAAGAATTGGTTAGTTTGTGTAGAGTGTCTTGCTGCTTTTGTTTTTTAAGGGCCTAGATGCAACTTTTCTCCATGACGTTTTTAGTATACAGTTCTGCTGACGTCTTCTCATGCTCTGACACCCAGTGTTAACTGAGCATGTGTTCTATGTGTCATTATGCACACTTGAACATGATTTTATAACCTGAAAGCGCCATAAAGTGGGTCCAGCATGAGTTTACGCCATCATATCTGTAGTGGAAAATACGGGGGACCTGGATGTAGGAGGAATGGACATCTTTTGTTCTACTGCATACCCACAAACCAGGTGTATTGCAGTGGCTGCTTCGTGCTGGCTGACGTGCATGTTCTGAGTGGTGCTGGTCTTATGGCTCAGAGCAGTGGTACACATGGCTGGGTGTCATGCACACACATTTCCTTGCAGCCCTCATCTCTGTATGGAGATTTCACACACTGGCTGCATGTATGTGGTGAACAGCTCAGATTCATCTGCTCTGACTTGTTTCTGTTCTTATTGCTGGACCTGGCATATAAGTGTGTTCAGGCAGTGCTAATGTCAGTTTTAGGTTTATCCTTGCCCTTTAATTGCTGATTTGTGTTTTAAACAAACGTCTAATATTGAGAGCTATTACCCACTAGGAAAGCCAAAGAAAAAGCAGTCAATTCACCGGCACTTGCATGTAGATCCTCAGCTGGTGTGCAGTTGCTACTGCTATGGCTCTTTTTATATCCTCCATCCCTGGCAGTGTTCAAGGCCAGGTTGGAGAAGTCTTTGAGCAACCTGATCTAGCAGAAGGTGTCCCTGCCTGTGGGACAGGGGTTGGAACTGGATGAGCTTTAAGGCCCCTTCCAACCCAAAGCATCCTGTGATTCCGTGTAGTGATGTTTATCCATGGGGCTTGGGCTAAGGGTATAATTTTGTTGTACTTTGGAGTGCTGGTCACGAGGCTCATCCTGTCTGTGCTCTCAGTACTGTGGTCACTTTTGTTCCTCGGGAGCCATCTGGTGGCAACGGTTAACAATGGCGCGTTTGGACCTGGAGAGCCAACCGTTAGCAGAAATGGCTTCCTACGGCTTCCGTCATTCCTTTACCTATTCCTTCCTTCCTTCCTTCCAATATCTTCCTTCTCCTCCAGGATAATTACAGCAGTATCTGACGAGTTTAAAGATTTGGAATAGCCTTTGAATACCCTTGAAACCAACCTGGCTGTATTTCTACGAGCTAGCATGTTGTTGAGTATGGTTCAGATGTTGCTTAGGCTTAAACAGCTTACTGTGGCTGCTCCAACCCCTGTGAGGGGCACTGTGCCTTGAAGGAGAGGGACTCAGACTCCAGTGACAGGCACTGTGGCTACTCAAATTCTGGCAACAGGGATTTTGGTTACATCAATGCCTGTGACATGCACTAAGGCCACTCAAACCCCCGTGACAAGCACTGTGGCTACTCAAGCCCCAGAGACAAGCATTGCAGCTATTCCAGTTTCCATGACAAGCACTGTAGCTACTCAAACTCTGATGACCAGTTCCACAGCTACTCAATCTCCACCACAGCTACTTTCATCGATGTAAAAAGCGCTGCAGCTACTCAAATTCCACCAGGAGCTGTGCTGAAGTGACGGGAGGTGGTAGTCAGTGCATATTCTTTTCTCTCTGGCTATCCACCTGTCCTTTTTCAGCGAAGGCAGAGCTGGCAGCATGTAACAAAGTTAAATCAGAATCCTGCTTTCCATACAGGAGCTTGACTTTTCTCTGAAAAAGGCGGGTTTGCTGAACCAAGGACCATGAAGGCAATATTTTAATCATCAGGAAATAGTTCAAGAATAAAGCTTTTCACGTCCATCCTCAGGCACCTATGAGTTCTTATCATAATGTTATTAAAAAACTAGGAAGCTCTCCTTAGCTTGAAAGTTATCAGAGAGAAAGGATTAAATACCAGAGAAGGGAGCTGCAGGTGTTATTTGAATTGAAAAGCAGCAGAGCCTTTTACAAACCAGTCTTCAGCAGATCCTAAGGAGCCAAGTAATACTCATGTTTTCCTTAGTCAACAATTGCTTTTCAGTTGCCTTTGTTGCGGAGGAGAAGATAGGTGTTCTGCTGCATAAAAGCCTACATGCAGTTCTGTTAATGGCAGGGGCACAGTGCTCCCAACAGACAAAAGGGAAAGGAGAAAATGAATGAACAAGCAACCAACCAACCACAGGACATGAAAGAACATTCGTAAAGCTTTATTTCCTGGTGCCTGAGCCACTCCTCACGGAAGCTGATGGAGAGACTTGCTTCGTTGCTGCAGCCTTTGAACGCTGTTAGCGCTGTGGGGAACAGGCTGCATTTGTTTTCTGGTTTTTAACTGCCACGTATGTTTAGAGGAAGCTTATAAATAAAGGCACCCTGCACCCATAAACTTATCCTTATGGCTTAGGATGGAAAAATCAAGTCCCCTAAATGGCAAGATGTTAGCACATCATTTAAATTTTTGGAAAAGGGCTGATTTGCCACGTGTGCTTCTGCAGTTACTTCAGGTTTGCCCTTTAAGGTGATCTCTCTAACCAAAAAGGTACTTATTTTATCTGGATTTTTTGTTTGTTTGTTGTTTGTTTGTATTTGTGGTTTGGTTTTGGTTTTTGTTTTTTTTTTAATCTGTTTTACCAAACCAAAACCCCAGTTTCGTGATCTCTTATAAATAAGCATAATATTCGCGCTCTCTGGGAATTCATCTCTAGTCACACCATCATGGGACTGCGCCTTTGTGTGTGCGAACGGCTGAGAACATCTGCCTCCTTTCCATAGAAGAAAACACTAGGGAAAATCCCTGTCCTTTTCCCCACTGCCTGTTGATAAAGTGTCAGCAGCGTAAATGAACTGTCTAAGCATGTTGATAGGTTTTTGAGACTGGAACCTTTTGCTTATGAGGCCTGCCAACACTGCCAGATGAAAGGTCTTTCCCTGTTCCTACGAGTTCTTGTATTCTCTCTTCTGATTGTATCTCCATCCGCAGTAACCTGCTGCTCACTTAATGGTAGGAAACAAGGCTTGAGACTGAAACACAGGATTTTCATAGTTAGCTATTTAGGAAAAGAAATAGATGCTCTTGATGTCCATCCTTCTATGCATAGGGGTTGGCCTGGTCATGTCCAAGCATGTCCATAACACTTGAAAAGGTGACCCTATTAGGCAACAGCTGCTCTCAGCCAACGGTCTTGAAACAGCACTTGATAGAAAGCAGTTCCTCTTTATGCCATTGTGGTAATATGAATGAATTGTAGTTGTTGATTCATTTGGTGGGAGAATCGTTAATATAAATGCCACTAACAATCCTGGACTTAATTATACTCAGAATTCCCAAAATGGTCATCTGTTACGAGGCCACTTGCTGGCCACCTTGTCACCCTGCAGCTGCTGGCTGCACTTGTAAGTGCTGGTTACAAGGACCTTCTTGCTCAAAGAGGGTACTGCCATTCTCCAGTGTTGGTACATAACTGATCAGCAATGCCACTCAGAATTCGGCGCTGAATGTGGTTCATCAAGATATCACATTTCCAGCCACCAGACCTCTCCACTGTGGCCTGGCCAGTGAAGCTGGAACAGTGCAGAGGTGCTATAAGCCAGCTGTCTTATTTCACCCAGAGCTGGGTTAAACTCCCAGAGACTCCATCGTGTCTCTTCTTGGCATCTCCCTGCATGCAAACTCCTGCATAGAGGCACCTATGTCCTTCCAACACAGGACCACAGAGATGACTGACATGTTCAAACTAACATCATCAGGGGTAAGAAAAACTGTGGGTATCAGTCTCTCCTTTCAATGCTTTCCTTTCTTCTCACTCCTGGTTAGTCTCAGACAGACAATGCAGATGTTTCTGCTGCTTTACATGAGAGAAACACCTGAAGTCTTGGAGAGGACCCATAGGAGTGGCAGTGTCCTGCCTGCTGTGGAACAAAAAGGGATTGCATAGGAGAATGGGGACATTTTAGGCAGTTCCTTAAATTCATTTAAAATGTTTTTTGTTTCTTTGCTTGCCTTTGGCTGAAGTTGCTACCTCCTCATTACAGAGTTTGTTCATTCTCATCTACAGTTTCTCAGCTGTATCCTTTCCTCTGCAAGATGCAGGCCATTCCTGGCTCTGCTAAATGTGTGCTGCCTGCACCTTCATGGCCCAGTGCCACCACATCTATTCTCTTGATCCCCACAGGCTAGTTATGTTCCCTAGAGTATAGTTGTTGTGTAAAAAGGACTATTTCTATAATAAATCTGTTTCAAGCAATTGATCCTAGCTTGCCAACTCTCCCAAGGTGAGATTATGCTTTCAAGTGTGTTGTGAAAGCTGTATGTTTGTTCTCTGTCAGGAATGTTATTTTCAGTATCTGCACCATGTACAGCAGCCTGTCAGGAGTGCAGAGCTAGAGGTATGTTCCTTGTTGATGCACTCGAACTCCTTTAGCTCTGCCAGCACTGGGCAGTTCTACTACAGCTTTAGTTTTTGCAAGGTGGCAAAAACCTGGTGCATTAGGCTAATGGTTTATTCCAGATGTGTCCATATACAAACTTCAACGTCATTGCTTTGCTGTGCTGCTCTTTCTACGTATAATTTTTGGTTGCCTGGGCACATGTGCTGGTTTGTATCTAATGGCCTTATTCGGAAATGCTGATAGGCATTGCATATGCTATATTGTCTAGGCCTTGTACGAGCCAGCTTGTGCAAACACACAAAGGCTCTAAAGGCTTTGCCCTTAGGGTGCTCTGGGCTGTGTGTTAGACTCCTCAAGCACCAATAGAAGTCCTTTGTACTCTCTCAGACACTTCCAAGGGAATACTGTACCAAATGGATACATGCCCCATGTGGATGCCACTGTATTTCTAGCAAGACTACCAGGTGGAAGTGGCAGTGGGTGGTTCAGCAGATGTTCAATGCTGAACTCTTCAAGCCTCACTATGAAGACAAAAATGGAAGTAATTACCATGTATTGTTTGAGAAATTGTAATGTTGCCTTGCTCATCTTTGTTTTTATGAATCATAGCCCTACATGGTGCCTTTGGGAGGGCTCACTTAAGAAAAATTCCTAAGTGCCTTGAGTTATACTTCTGTGCATAGCCTGAATTGCCCAAATTACACCATTCAGCACAGCACAGGACCTGTTGCGTTTGAGAGCTTTCTCTTAGGATCTACAACTAACCAGCCCTTCACTTTATTTTGAAAGGGGCTCAGCCTGTCAGACTATCTCAGATAATGTCTAGCATATGCACATAGACCCAAAGCCTTCACAAAATGCAGTGCATTGATAGCATTGTCCTCTAGAAGGCAGGAGAGACCGCTTCTTCCGTTACTGGATGGCATTTAAATTCCTGTTTCCCAGCTGTTAGTCTGTTCCCCTGCTCACAGTTAAGTTTTACAGGGAAGCAGTAAGGCCTTGCTGAGCAGCAATGCCTAGTTCTTAGGGTACTTAGGGGAGGAAGGAGTAATGGGGTGCAGCCCTTACTCCCAGGGCAGTTTGTACATTTTAACCAGGGACTGTTTAGTGCAAAACGACAAAGCTTAAGATGTTCAGAGGATCTTTTTATATCCCAAATTACTTGTTTCTTGATGAGTTCAAGTCCTGGTGTGGATTTGACAGTTGCCTAGAAATAGCACCCAAAATGTCAGGTCCCATTTCTCCTGTATGTTTGGCTTCAGCCATGGATGTCTGAACTGCTGTTTCCAGTTGACTCTGCAGAAGCCAGCTGGGTCATTTGCAGTTCTTACACAGTCCCCAGAAGCAGGTGCCGCTGTGGGAGACTTGGCTTTCTATCATGAGATGCCGCTCAGTGGAAGATGCAAGTATATGCAGCCTTCGATGAAGTTCCTGCCTGAAAGGGGAACTGGTCTCTTGGTGAGTAATCAGAAGCTGTGCTTACTATCCCAAGCACTGTCTTTCAGTCTGTGATCAGGACTGCCTGCCTCTGTGGGTTAATAATTTACACCTCCAGGGACCTGATGGTGAGCAAAAGATGAGGAAGGGAAGTGCTATGCTCGAAAATCATAGATGGGCACAGCAGGTTTTCAAAGGTTAGGGAAGCCCTATGTAGGCTGAGGTGTTCCAGGCACTGCTGCCAGAAGTCCAGTCTTTGGAGTACATAAGTATTCCAAAGGGCTTCCCGTCCCACTCTTCTGCATCAGATAAACTGTAACCAGCTGCTGAGCTCATATCAGGCTTGTATCTCATACAGGCTTAGTCCTTCTGTGACTATTTGTTTCTTTGACAGTGCTCTCTGGTCTGCTACGTATCAAAAGCCTCAGCTACTTTGTTGTCCAGTGTCAACCTCAGGCTCCACTGCAGATATAAGTTTCCTGAAGGGATGGTATCAGGACTATTTGGTATGATGGGCAGGACCAGCGATTTCTGACCCATAATAGTTTATTTGCTAACTCTGACAGAACAAGTATGTGACCCGTCACAAAGATGTTTACCCCTTTTAAAAGAGAAAACCTCACTTCTTTGGCAAGGAAGAAAAAATCCTATAAAATCCTAAACTCTAAAACATCTAAAAAAAGAGTCCTGTTGATGGAAACAATAGATGGTAACAGGGTTCTATGAGTTTATTATCGTTACAGCTTGTGGTTTTCAGCTGACAATTGCTCTGAAGAGCAGCAGTAGGTAGATTTCTCTGTGGCTTCATACGCAACTGGAAAACAGCCACTTCATCTTGCTTGTGCTGTTTTATTTAAACTCAGTTGGCTTAATCTCATTCCATCAGGTTTATTTAATGTTTCTTCATTAGCTAGGTCCTGCTGGATGCTCCAGCACAATATTCTTTATGTCAAGGAGTGAAAAACATATCCCCATTCCCCACCATTGCCCTTTTGCTCCTGTTGAGCATTGTGTTTTGCTGTGGAATAGTAACAAGTCTTCACGGACAAGAGGTGAGGACATGCGTGACTGAGGAAAGGGAAAGCACTTTGACTTCATCATTATCCTTAAGCTCCGCAAAGTGCCTTTTGCTGATTGACGACCTCATGCCCACTCATCTCTGTTCTTCTGTCTCTGCCTTGCCTCACTATTTCATTCTGGGTGAAGAAGCTCTCATACATGAAAGGCAAACATCTCAACATTGCTTCCACATTGGGAAATGCTATTTTAGTTGCTAGGGGATCTGCTTAGCAAAGAAAGCCAACTCTTGAAAATGGTGTTTCCATTTCAGGGAATCTTATCTTGTGCTGTTCTGTTGTTTCAGCTAATTTTCTGAAGAATCATACCCTGGTTTTGTTTTTCTGTTAACATCTGGGGGGAAGTCTTTATCGAGAGTTAAGACTGCTTGAGAACTAAACTTGCATGCACTCATACACCACAAGAAGCCTGAACTGAGTCACTTTCTACACTGGCAATATGTTGCCCAAGTTCCTGGAGAGGAAGAAAGAGAAACACTGCAAAATGTAGAGACAGTTGTGCTGCACTTTTTGGCTTTGCCTCAGGTTTAGCATCAGAGTAGAACACTTTGAATACACTTTTAAGTATCTTGTGAAAATGGTCATATATATCTGGTGAGAAAATCAAATGGATCAGCAAGTTGTCTATGAATGAGTCTTAAATGCAGGTGGAGAGGTCATCTGCTTATAGGCTCAGGTGATAGCTTAGCAATAAAAGCCAGGGATCTGGATGGAGAGGAAGAACTCCTAATAAAGTAATTGTCCCCAGATTAAAAATGTTGAAATGCAGGTTCACATAGCTGTATCTGAGGTGAAGTAGTATGCGGTAAGAAGTGAAATAAAAGTCCTTGGGGTGTATTAGGTTAAGAACAGTCTATGATTGCAAGTAATTTTAGCAGCTAAATGGCTCAGTTTATTCTTTGATACCTAATGATAATGTCTTCAATTTCACACACTGATTTTTAAACAATGCATGTCAAAAGAAAGGGAATTCTGTAGTCAAATAAGGACAGTTACAGATTTGCCACCTTCTCCACACCTCTTTGGAAACCCTATGCTGTTGGAGCAAGCTAATTCCCTTATCCTTGAGGTGACTGTTGGAGTAGGGCTTAGATCATTCTGCTCAGGACACATGGGTTATCAGCTGTAACAAGTATAATGCGGCATAGCCCATCTTCTAGCAACTGCTCCAGATGTGCTCCCTGAAATTCTCTTGAAACCTCCAAGCCCTGCATTTCCCTTGCCAGTGACAGACATCTTGCCAAATAATCCAAATAATCTAGAGTGGATTATAGAATCATAGAATAGAATCATAGAATAGTTAGGGTTGGAAAGGACCTTAAGATCACCTAGTTCCAACTCCCCTGCCATGGGCAGGGACACCTCACACTAAACCATGTCACCGGAGGCTCTGTCCAACCTGGCCTGGAACACCACCAAAAAACTTGAGGGATAATTGACCATAATATTTGGCCTGGATGTACCAGAGAGCCAGATTCTGCTCCAGCACTGGTGTTAAGTCCAGAGTCACTCCACTGAAGCCAGTCACATCCTCCAAATCAAAACAAGGTCCTGTGTGTTTAAAGAGCCACTTGTTACCATAGGCTCAAAAACCTAACAGTTCTGTACCAAGTGGTAGTACAAAAAGCAACAATGAATAACTTTAATTATTTGTACTTCTCAAACAGAGGGTTTCAAAAAAGGCATCAAGAAAGTCACAGATCATTGGAGTATTAGAAAACTGATGTTAGTAGTGGCAACTGTGCTCTTTCAAGGTAAAGGAGTAAGAAACATCTGTAATTACTGTATTAAGAGAATGAAAGAAAAAACACAGAGTCAGAAATCACAGCACATTCTGTAACTGAGCTGCTGTCATTCATCTGATTGAAGGCAGATTTCCAAAAGGAAATCACAAGTTCAAAAGGCTGGAAAACACCAAGTTACACCACCACTCGAACCCACCCGCCTGTGCTGTCAAGCTGTTGCAAAGAACAGACCCAGTATACTGACTCTCCACCCTGCCTGCAACCATGCTACCCAGTCTGCAGCAACTCAACAAGCTAGGATCAGTTGGAGCAATTACTTGCATGGAAATCAGCAGTGGCAGAGCATGTGTAGCTGTTTAACACAATGAATACGTTTTAGAAACATTCTGAGAAGTCACCCAGTTACTGTTACTCCTTCTTCCCCCACACACACTCTGTTACAGACTTACAGGGTCTATGGAAATTGCTCTGTACGGACCACCATCAAGCAGTGCAGACAGCGCTTTTTGGGAACCGCAGCCCTAAGTAGCAAATGCAGTGGATAATTATTCATTCCTGGTTATCCATGTGTGCACACATGGCTAAATGTATAGCTCCCATCTCCTTCACTTCTGCTAAGTCAAACCATCAGTCCAACCTGACATACTGGGAGGCTAAGAGGTCACTGGGAAAGCCAGACCTGGTTTCAAATCATAGAATCATAGAATAGTTAGGGTTGGAAAGGACCTTAAGATCATCTAGTTCCAACCTCCTGCCATGGGCAGGGACACCTCACGCTAAACCGTATCACCCAAGGCCTCATCCAACCTGGTCTTGAACACTGCCAGGGATGGAGCATTCAAAAGCTCCCTTGGCAACCCATTCCAGTGCCTCACCACCCTAACAGGAAATAATTTCCTCCTTATAGCCAATCTAAACTTCCCCTGTTTAAGTTTTAACCCATTACCCCTTGTCCTCTCACTACAGTCCCTAATGAAGAGTCCCTCCCCAGCATCCCTATAGGTCCCCTTCAGATACTGGAAGGCTGCTATGAGGTCTCCACACAGCCTTCTCTTCTCCAGGCTGAACAGCCCCGGCTTCCTCAGCCTGTCTTCATACGGACAAACATCCTTTAGTTTTTGTAGTAATTAGTATTAAGTGTAGGTTTAGATGGAGGAAAAGCAGAGGAATTTCGTATTGGCAGAAGGTATAGTATGGACAACCCTGGGACCACTAACTCATGTAAATTGTGGTGCAAGGTCTTTGGGGTGGAGTTTTCTCCCTGCCTGTCTGGCTCCGTGGGAGACAGCACTGGGAGGGACGGAGAGTTTAGGTATTATGACCTGTACCTGCCACAGACTTCAGGGTCTAGTATGCTGGTGTGGGGCCACACAAACACTATTATTTTCTAAAGACCAGCTCTTGAGGCACCCTGGCTTATCAGTTCCACGTGCCTTTCCTGTGTCTGGTAAGGGAAACGGTAAAATGGAAACTTTCCTTCTGTAGCCTAAGCCAGCTACAGCTACTAAAATCTGGCACCTGTACGTATCTGTGGTCAAATGCTACAGAAGAAAGGGTCTGTCTGTACACAGCAAGTTGCTTCACTGTGCTGAATATGGTATGACCTTGGAAAACAGCATCTGTGGTAGCAGAGTGTAACCCAAATCAGTGCCAGGAGCATCTATGATGAAACACAGGCTTACTGGGAAGCTAGTATTTTTCTGTTTGTTGCTTTCTTTCTGACATTTAGGAAATGCCATATGAAGAGAAATTAAAGGGTGATGTGCTAGGACAGGAAAGGACCCTCAGATACTTTAACTTGACTGATCTGTTGTGTCAGCCCAAGGAAGAAAAGTGAGCAGCAAGAACAGCTTCTTTGCCATCTCCATCCACTTGCTCTGTGCTCCTCAGGGTCTGGCCAGCAACAGCCTAAATATTTTTCAAAAATTTTTGTGTTACTTGGGAAATGAGCATCATTGTCTCGGTTGAGAAGCGCCAGCAGGCCTGTCCTTTTATCCACGGACTGCCTGGAGAACAGAACGCCCAAAGCCATGAATGTTTACCCCTGTCTCTGCTATGATGCTGACAAGGGCTATGGCTGGCAGGGCTCTGTGTATTTGCACATTCACAGCTGTTTCTGACTGCAGAAGGTGCTCCCTACATTTCAAACAGCTCTCTTCTAAGCAACACAGAATTCACCCTGCTGAGGTGGTGGTGCAGAGGGGGATGACATTGCCACTATGCACGTGTAGTGGTACTATTAACTATGCTCCTTTTTTTTTTGTTTGCTCCACAGATCCTATGTGGGAAGGAGATCCCCCACTGGGTGAAGTGCCTGGCCCACTTCAGCTCATGCATCCCCCTCCTCCAGAGCTGCCTCCTCAAGGAGTGGCTGACCCCAGCAGTCCTGCAGAACCATGTCAGCCTCAGCCTCCACAAGGAGGATCAGGGGGACACAGCAGATGAGGAGCCCCTCAGCCACATCATGAACCTGTAGACATAGCCCACTCTGCCCTCAAATAACCTCTCTCCCGATTTCTCTTGTACTATTTCTTTCTATGTCTGCTGCCCTCTTGTCAGCTGAATCCCAAAGTACCCACAGAACTTCTACAGTACCGAGTGTTCCCAGTGTAATGCTTCAAGTTCAGTGCAACTGCTTGGCTGTTCTCTTCAGTTGTTAGAGTGACACCTGATGGTTTTAGCCTTGTTGATAGAATTTGACAGTAAATAGTTGTATTGCCCTGGATTTAGGAAGCGGAGGCTTTAAAGGATGCTTGTTAGCAATAGTGGCTCAGCAGCTTGTTGAGAGAGAAGTTTAATGTCCCTTTGCCCTGAGGGTTGTCCGGCTTTCTTGAAATGTGCATCTTTGAAAAAGAAGAGAAGTCTGAGACATGTTCCTGGAGAGAGCATTCCTCTCTTGAAGCAAGGCAGGAACACACAGGTTTATGCACTGTTATCCAGACAGCTGGTTTTGCCCTTTTCTCCACAGGACTGAGTCATAAATGTCTGCTTTAAACCTGTTACAGCTAAAATCTGCAAGCTGGGATGTGGAATCCCAGATGAGCAATACAAACAAATCAATCTATATAGGAGAGAAAATTAAAATCAGTATTCTATGATCCACATCTGCATCTATGAGAAGCTCCAAAATTAAGCTGAGACACCTTTTGGCAGCTGGTTGCTCCAGAAAACCGTGATGTGCACCGTTCTGCGCTCTGGGGCAGCACAGTTGTAGAATGCGTTTAATTGACGTTGGTACCTAAGGTGTTTTTGCTTGCCTGTCTGAGGGATCTGTGGGAAGCCTTCAATGAAAGCAGATCTTCTAATGAGCTGTCTCAAGTTGTGTTTTGAAGATTGCAACCCAAAAGTAGAGCATTTTGGTTTCTTATGAGGACGTTTAGGGATGTTTCTGGATGGAGTCATGTAGACAGAGCTTTGTTCCATGAAGGCTTGCTGAAGAAATGCAATCCCTTCCCACCCTGGTTTGGAATCGCTTTGGTTCAGTGCCAGTATCTGGAATATGCAGTTTCTGCATTGTGGCAGTCTGGGAACTGCTGGAAAGTTACACAGGTTTAGTTACTGCATGCTCACGTGGGTAATACAAACCCCAGGTAAGGACTGCAGGAGTGACAACAAGGAGCTGGCACTTGTGTCCCCAAAAGCAGCGAATTGATGGAACAACTGTAGAGACTGCTTACAGCGATAGCTGAATGAAGAGAAGCAGCCCAGTGTTAATGCTGTCGAGGTGCTTTAAGGGCCATAGCAGCTGCTTGCTCCTGGTACCTTACAGGGAAAAAGATGAAGAAAAGAAAAAGGCCAGTTTTCCTTGGGTGCTCCAGCGCAAGAGGGACAAGAAGCTGCGGATTTAGTGGGTTACCTCTGGGGATGAAGGGTGGTCACGTTCCTGTACTTCTTTCACAGTGTGCTCGCCATAGCCTTGACCTGTGTTTTTGCCAGTTGGTTGGCCCCTTCTGGGGGGTGAAGGGAAACCTTGGATTTTACCAAGAGTCTAGTATGGTATGCAGAAACAGCAAGCTTACTGACAACTGACTGAGTTGGGTACTGAGGCGAGATCTGTTCTCCACCCGTGCTGTGTTCAGACCTAGGCTCCTGCTCCAGGACAGTCATTGAGGTGCTGGAGTGGAGCCAGAGAAGGGCAATGGAGCTGGTGAAGGGCCTAGAGCACAAGTGTGGTGAGGAACGGCTGAGGGAACTGCGGGGCCTTAGTCTGGAGAAGAGAATGCTCAGGGAGGAACTTATTGCTCTCTACAGCTGCCTGAGAGGAGGCTGGTGCTAGGAGGTGCCTGGTCTCCTCTCCCAAGGAATAAGGGATAGAATGAGAAGAAATGGCCTCAAGCTGAGGAGGGGAGGTACTCCTACTGAGCCTGCTGTCAACCAGCACCCCCAGCTCCCTTTCTGCAAGGCTCGTCTCCAGCTGCTCCTCTCCCCATTTGTGCTTCTAGGTGATGTTTTTCTGTGTCCATTGGTGTCTCTGCCAGGTCTTGCCTAAAGCGCCTGCAACTGTTCTTTGGACAAAATTTACTGGAAGGTGCCAACTCCGGAAATCTGGCACTGGGCATTATTTCTTCTGGGTCATCCCCTCTAGCTTAGGACAGAAAGTGGTGAGTCAGGAATGCGAGCCTTGGAGAGGGCTGTATTGAAGAGGACAATCATTACGGATAGGTAATGTTCTCTCTTCTCCTCTTGTAGGTTTGGAAGAACATTGTTCTCCGGCAGTGAGTGATCTGCACTTTTGAACAAGGTGCTACCTGAAGGAGTAAAAGGAATCGATAGTTATTGCTTCCTTGCAATTCCTTTTTGTACTTGAACCTCTTCCTTTCTCTGGGTTTTCGACTGAGAAAGACCCCTGGAAGCCCACAGCAGTTCAGTGTCCCAGGATGTGGAAGATGCCCGTGGATAAAGAGGCAAACGCTCATTCCCAGCTCGCTGTGGGCAGGCCAAGCAAGCAGAGAAGGCACCAGGTGAGGGCCGGGGCAGGAGAGAGAGGCCGGTGGTGGGACAGGGCCGCTCAGAGCTGCCTCAGTGCCAGGGCCAGGCACTGCTTTTAAGCTCCTGAAGAATTAGAAGATCTTGTAGGCCTGTCTTCCAATCCTGCAGTCATTGATTTCACTCTGGTTGATTTTGATGAGGTAAGGTGTGAATGGCGCATTTACCTGAACCTGGTAGTCAAATAGGTTTTCTGTCTTGCTTCCGGATAGAATCCATCCTTAAGGAAAGATTTGAAATTCAAAGTTGTCAGTGCCCCTGTTTACCCAGCCTAGAGGTGATTGTATGCATTTTTGTAGAGTAGACATGATGAGAAATGCATTTCGTGTATGACATTCTCTCAGGAGCAGACCCCTCATTCACTGAGTGTTAGCCCAAGGCTAACACAGAGAAAGTCTGGCATACTCATTGTCGTGGTTTAAAACCAGTCAGGCAGCTCATTCACTCACTCCCCCCCTTCTTTTCCTCCCCCTACTCCCAGAGGGATGGAAAGGAGAACTGAAAAGAATGCAACTCCCACGGGTTGAGATAAGAACAGTTTTGTAACTAAGTATAACACAAATCACTGCTGCTACCACCAGTAATAATAATGATAAGAGAAATAACAAGGGAAGAGAATACAACACCTCAGCACCAGCTGACCGATAACTCTCCCCACCCCACCTGACCAAGCACTGACTGATACCTCCTCCAACTCCGCAGTCCTCTAACCCATCCAGGTAACTCTCAGTTACATCCCCGCGCATGACGTGCTGTGGTATGGAATACCTCTTTGGCTAGTTTGGGTCAGGTGTCCTGTCTCTGCTTCCTCTCAGCTTCCCCTCCTCCCTGGCAGAGCATGAGGCTCAGAAAGTCCTTGGCCAGGCTAAAACATTTGGACGGTAACTAAAAACATCGGTGTTATCAGCACTGTTCCCAGGCCGAAAGTGAAAAACACAGCACTGCACCAGCTACCAAGAAGGAGAAAACTAACTGCTACTGCTGAACCCAGGACACTCATCATGGTGCTGCCATGAATGAACTCTACTGATAAGTACTGAGCTTGAGGGATCTGGAAGACTGAATGCCAGGGCATCGAAGAATTCAATGAAATGTGTATTGGACCTATCTTTGAAGATCTGTATGGTAAAAGTAAATGGAGGTTGTGAATGCAGATGTAAAACGTAGGGTTGATTCTGAATCCAAATAGGGAGTACTGAAAGTGGTGAGGAGGGAGGAGCATGTTCTGGTGGTTCATAACATTAATTGTTGACATTGCTTAGCTGATGTGTTGTTTGTACGTGACACCAGGTGGGCACACCAAAGTCTAATTGTGTTTTCTCTCCCTTCCCATATGATCTGATGGAAGACTGATGCAGAAGGTGACTTGATGCAATTGATAATGGGATTGTCCTAAACTTAATCTTTTTTTGGGGGAGTGTGTTTTTGCATGAACTCGAGCAGCATGGATTGAAGCTGCCTTTTCCCAGATGCAAAGGACAGTACTTAGTAATCTGGGGACTGGATCCAATCTGTGCTTGATAGTCACTCTCAGAGCTTGTAGAGACTATCTGAAAGCAAAGCTGTGCAAAGTCTGATTTTATTTTCCTAATTCACAAGTTCTTTACCACTGGAATATCTGAATATGAAATATTCCAGAAGATTATTTTTAGCATGTATTGCAGTGAGGAAAATAGACGTAGTTACAGACACTACAGAATCCTGCACTTTAAGGAATGTTCCAGAGCTATATATTTTACACTCTTTCTAACTTAGGAAAATTCTGTCCTTCTGGCAGTGCAACTTGCAGAAGTGGCAGGAAGTTTTATTCCCCTGCAATCTCTGATTTTGATTCTCACATTCTGTGTTTAAGCTCCTGAAGAAGTAGATTCCTCCTCAAGTGAATCTTCTTTATCTGATATCCTTGCTCCCACTCAGGATGATTCTGATGAGGTAAGCAGTGATTGGCACACTTACCTAAACCTTGTAGTCAAATCTAATTGATTTCTGTTGTGCTTCCTGAGGGAATGCATCGTTAAAGATGGATTTTACATTCAATGTTGAGTTGTCAGTGCATCACTTTAAGCAGTGCAGAGGTCATCATATGCCTCTATATAGAGTAGACATGATGATAAATACATTTCAAGTACAACATTCCTAAGGATGTAGGCGCTCTTTTTCACTAAGTAAAGTAGCACATACAGGGTCTGTATGACTCAGTCTCTAGGACTACTCCTAAAGGCCTTAAAAAATCTTTTTTTACATTTGCTGCTCTTTTTGCAGCTAGAATAACACTTGATCCATTTGATACTGTAGTTTTTAACATCACTTTTATGATGCCACTGCTAGCTTGCAAAACAGAAGCAAGCAGCAGGAATCACATGGGGTGGTACCACATCCAGGGCTTCTTCCTGAGCCTTTGCAAAGGAAAGGCCTCAGACTTTACGCAAATATTTGCATAGCCCAGGTTTAGTTCCAGCAGGCACCATCGTGGGCTTTGGGGTTGTGTGTTTTTTTTCTTGATCAGCTGTTGGTCTGATAGGAAGTGTTTCTGGATATCACACCTGAATTGGCCTGTTTGAGGGAGAAATGGGGAAAGAATCTCTTCCAGCCTAAATCCAATTAGGGGATTCTGAAGCTGGGGGGGGGGTGGGAGGAGGCTGTTATTCTTGGTCATAAGCTGCCTTCATTTCCACCCCTTTGCAGCAGCATGAGCAAAAGCAGAAGCAACCACGTTTTCAGAGCAGCAGCTGATCTGCTACTACTTTTCATATTCTTCTGCAAAATTAGAGAGCGATATCCTACCATTCTAAGCTTTTTTGTTGACATTGCTTAGCTGATGTGTTGCTTGTATGTGACACTGGGGGTGCACACCGAAGTCTAATTGTAGTTTCTTTTCTCTCCCTTCCCGTATGTATTGATACCAGTTGGAGGATGAAGGTGAGTTGATGTTTTACAATTGATAATGGGATTGTCCTAAACTCATGTCCTGGGGGCTGTGTTTTCCAATGAATTTGAGCAGCATGGATTGAAACTGCCTTTTTCAAAAGGCAAATGATAATGCTAAAGCATCACACAAATGGATCCAATCTGTCCTTGATAGTCACTGTCAGAGCTTGTAGGAAGTATCTGAAATCAAAGCTGTGCAAAATGTTTTCTTATGTTCCAAATGCACAAGTTCTGCAAACATAAATTTGATATTAATTTAATTATCGCTTTTACCACTGGAATTCTTGCTTTGAGTAAGAAATGGACAAAAGGGATATTTTGGCCTGTACTGTGTGACGGAATCATCTGCCACCAGTTTCAGTGGGGTTGGAACTATATGATCTTTAAGGTCCCTTCCAACCCAAACCATGCCATGATTCTATGGCTCTACGAACTAAAGAAGTTATAGACTCTAGATAATCCTGCATTTCAAGGAATGTTCCAGAGCTGTATGTTTTATGCTCTATCTACCTTAGGGAAATTTTGTTCCTCAATACAGTTCTATAGTGGCAGGACATTTTATTCCTCTGCAGCCTCTGATCTTGATTCTCACATTCTCATGTTCTTACTCTCCTGAATCAGGTGAACCTAATCCTCCTCGAGAAATGGTTGTCATTTTCATTGTTCATATTGAGGTAATTAGTGAATGGCACTCTTAGCTAAACCTTGCAGTCAAATTAGTCTTCTCTTGTGCTCCATGGTAGAATAGTGTTTGATCCAGTCCACAGTGCTGTGTATGACCTCAGTTTTGAGATTCCATTGCTGCTTTGCAAACCAGAAGCAAGCAGCAGGAATCATGTGGAGAGGTATTTCCTCCTGGGATTGTTCCTGAGCTTGGCAAAGGGAAGGCATTGAGCTTTATGGCAGAATCTGCATTGCCCCACCTTTAGTTCCATCAGAGACCGTAGTGGGCTTGGTTTTCTTGTTGTTTTTTTCAGCACCTTTTAGTCTGACAGGCGTGCTTTTGATATCAGAAAAGAAGGAATTTCTTCCAGCCTAAATCCAATTAGGGGGAGAAGGAAAGATGGTGTTCAGGGGCTTCTTTAGCTGCCTCCATTTCTATCCTTTTGCGGCATCTTGAGCAAAACCAGAAGCAACACCTAGTTTCCAGAGTAGCAGCTAATCTACTACTACTTCTAAAATTCTTCATCAAAATGAGAGAATGATACCCTGCCCTTCTCAGCTGCTGTTGTTGTCAGCACTTAGCTAATGTTTTGATCTTTAAGGTATGTAACACCGGTGCGCACACCAAGTCTAACTGTATTTTCTTCTCTCTCACTTCCCATATGTCCTGGGTTCAGCAGTAGCAGTCATGTTTCTCCTTCGTGGTAGCTGGTGCAGTGCTGTGTTTTGACTTCCAGCCTGGGAACAGTGCTGGTGATACCGATGTTTTCGGTTGTTGCTAAGTGATGTTTACCCTGACCAAGGACTTTGTGAGGCTCATGCTCTGCCAGGGAGGAGGGGAAGCCGGGAGGAAGCAGAGACGGGGTGCCTGACCCAGGCTAGCCAAAGAGGTATTCCATACCACAGCACGTCATGCCTGGGGTGGGGGTGGGGGGTAACTGGGAGTTACCCGGAAGGACACGGGCTTCTGGGTGGGACTCATTTCTTGGCCGGTGGTATTGTATTCTCTTCCCTTGTTATTTTCCCTTATCATTGTTGTCGGTGGTGGTAGCGGTGGTGATTTGTGTTGTACATTGGTTGCTGGACTGTTCTTGTCTCAACCAGTGGGAGTTGCACTCTTTTGATCCTCCTCCCCATTCCTCCGGGAGCGGGGAAGGGGAGAGCCCTGGGGGGGGGGGGGGGGCGAAGGCCCTCGATTGCTCTCAGCCCGGCACCACTCACTGGGAGTGAGTGAACAAGCTGTCTGGCTAGGGTTTAAACCACGACACCATATATACCGGAACAGGCCTGCTGAAGGTAAGTTGACGTTTTACAATTGCTAATGATTTTTCCTCAACTTGTTTTTTTTTTGTTTTGGTTTTGTTTTTTTTCCAATGAACATGAGCAGCATAAATTGAAACTGCTTTTCCAAAAGGCAGAGGACAGTGCTAAAGTATCTGGACAGTGTCTTACAGAATGGATCTATTCTGTACTTTACAGTCACTATCAGAGCTTGCAGGATGTATCTGAAATAAAATGCATCAAAGCTGCTCAAAATATGTTTTCTTGTTTTCCAAATACAGAAAGTCTGTAAGGCCAAAGTCACTTGTAACCATCACTTTTAGCACTGGAATTCATCTGCTTTGAATAAGAAAATGTTGAAAGAGGGTTTTATCCTTTATTGCAGTGGAGTTCCTGCAGTGTAGGACATGTTGAAAGCTATTCATAACCACACAATTCAGGATAGTTCCAGGGCTATAGATTTTATACTGTATCTAACTTGCTATCATTAAATTACAGAGAACCAGCAAGAAGGGGGAAATTCTGGACCAAGAGTCCAGCAACAGTCGGATATCACTGTTCCAGCTAGAGGTGATCCAGATGAGCCAAGACGTAATGATATGTATGTAACAGCTAATGTGTCTCTCTAAATTCTGATTTTTTCCAAGCTTTTGGGTTATGTTTGATTACCATGTGAATTTCAGTCATAAAATCTATTTGCATTTCTTGAATAGAACTTCTTTTTTTAAAACCCAACAAAACCGAACACAAGGTTTTCTTCTATTGTTCATCAACTCAGGATCTAATATATTTTACAGTATGGCTTGATGTATGTCGAAATGCTTGTAATACCTGAAGGACACACCCAAAATATCTGAAAACCTGCTTCTTATCATGACAGATTTGATAAGGAAAGAGTTCGTGGAATGAACGGCTTCCAAAGGACAGCTAGATGCTTTTGTCACAAACCCCTTATTTCTGACCTGTTGAAGATTAATGCTGTCATACCTGTGCTGCGCTGTGCTACAGACTGCTGTTACTTGTAACAGTAGAGCAGGGGGACTGACTACATCATCCCCCGTAATGAGAAGCAAGACCCTGTTTCCTTTAGGGAAGGGTCATCCTAACTGCTTATTACATGCAACAAATGAAGAGAGTGAAAGGTACACAGGGACCTTCAGATGAAATGCATCATGGCCAATCTGTGCAGTTGGGGGATGATATGACATTATAGGAACCAGTTACCCTCAATGCACAGTGACATTAATGGATGTGTGTTCTTTCTGCTTTTGTTCTCTTTACCACAAGGCCACCTGGTACCATTAGATGTCTGATCTACATGGATTTCTACTTGGCGGTAAGGATCTGCATTTTGTCGTGGCTTCTTTTTTGTCAGAGGGAGAACAGGGTGCGGGGTGAGCAGAGCCTCTTTGCTGGGTGATGTGGGATGCTGCAGACAGCTGGTTTGAGGTACAGACCTCACTGTGAAGGTCAAGCTGGCTTGCAAGTCAAAGTCATTTCTTGGTGGTCAACATAGTGCCAGAAACACTTCCCAAGGGGGCACTGAAAGACCTTTGGGTTCCTTTCATCAGTAATGTACTGATCCCAGGCACCCAAGTCCTCTCTTCCTGGTGCCAATAGACCAGCAAAGCATAATTCTTCACATCAAATTCCTCTTGTGCTGTTTTTTCTTCCAGATTGTGCAAAATGGATGACATCTTGTGGCAACCATATGCGGCCACGTCTTCTGCAACCAGTGTCTTTATTATTCCCTTATGAATGCCAACACTTGCCCAACCTGCAAGACAGAGCTTGGTGATGGAGACTATCATCACCTATATATATGAGTTTATATATGTTTTATTGTTCCAAATAAAAATAGTTGTGTTTTTGCAAATCAGTGAGTTTTTGCAAATCTAGAGAGCTTTCTTATGGTCCAAGTGGCTTCTTGTAGTGTCCATGGTTAGAATGTTAAAGTTAGGACTGGCTCTATATTAGATCAGTAGAAGAAAATATCTGTTGGGAAGGTCAGTATTTCCTTCAGCTTTTCCTTCTGCTCCCACAGATCTAAAACTTGGCTCCAGAGCCACCCTTCCCCAGCCTATTTTTGGGCCGTCACTCCACCACTTCTTGAAGTGATGCATGTCTGGGCAACAAACCCCTTACAATACACCTCCCATTGTCATCCTCTGAGCAAACTGCTTCAAGTTCTGTATTGAACTAAAGTCATGTTCCTTATTAACCTTGCCTATTCACAGCCAATACTGAATTGTGAGCATTTCTGCAGCTCTTGGTATCCAGTCCAGCACCAATTCTGGCTTGTCCATGGATGTTTAATAAGATTTCCATCCTGTTCTCCATCCTGCTGTCCAGAAATCAAGTTACACAATGTCCTGTTGCACCCTGCAGTTGTGGTCATCGCTGCCTAAACCAGCAGTGCAGGCTTAATACATCAGAAGTTTCCAGAGTGCCTGCCAATAGCCAGCAGCAGATTATGTGCACTGAATTTTTATGTGCACTGGTCCTTCTCTGGAGGAAAGTGATAAGAGGCTTCCCCAGAGCTTTTCTCCAGAAACACTCAGTTCGTGATGGGACAAAAGCCAGCCAGCCATCACGTTTGTGTTTCTGTTCTGCCCCCGAGTTCCAGATAAAGCAATAGGTACACATCTAGGAGAGAACCAGGACTCCAGAGGCATGCTTCACACAGAAAACCTTCTTACAGTATTTCACAAGGTAAAAGAATGCTTAACTCACTGTATGGTGAGTTAGACCACAAAGCTACGTTCAGCCTCCTCGGGGACATGAATACGTGCTTGAAGTATTGGGCTTTACCTCTGAAATTTAACAGCATTTTATAACAGATTCTTAAACACGAAGACATTTTAAAAGCCTAATTTACCATTCATTCCTGGCACAGCATGTTTGTTTTAGCACTTTTTCTTACTTCAAATGTACAATCGGGGTAAGGGATAACGACGCAGGAAAACAAAGGCCCACCCTCCGAAGTCGGCTCCTGCTACCAGACACCCACTGGTGCGCAACCGGCAGCGCAACCCGCAGATACGGCCGCGGAACCCGTCTTGCCCGGGCGCGTTGCCCCGGCAGAGGAGCCGCTATGGCGGCGGACCCGTGCTCCGCCGGAAGCGCTAATGCCGGGCCGGAGGCGGGAGGACGCCGTACGGCGCCTATGGCGAAGGAGGGCGATGGAGAGGCTCCGGAAGCTTTGGAGGAGCCGCACCATGACCTTCGGGGTCCCTCTGTTGGTGAGCAGCATGGGGGGTTGTACCGGCACCGGGCAGGAGAAGCGGCGGCAGGCCCCACCCCGGCCTGGCGAGCGGCCTCCGAGCGTGCGGTGCTCCCGCCGGTGCCTCAGGGCTGGCAGTACGCCCCGGCCCGCCCCGGCCCGGCCCGGCCCGGCCCGGCCCGCCCATGGGGCCGGTGCACCGTGGGGAAGGCCGCGTCGGTGTCAGGGGAGAACGGGTGATGAATTTATGGTGGCAGGAGGAGGAGCGGGTTTTGAGTGAGCTGCGGGACGGTGCCGCCGCCTGCATGCTTGTGGGGAGCGGCCGGTAGGACTCTGCGGTGTGCCCTGACAGGGATGAGGAAAACGCGTCTTCGAATCATAGAAACAGCGAGGCTGGGAAAGACCTTTAGGATCATCAAGTCCAACGGTTAACTCAGGGCTGCCAAGACCACCACTAAACCATGTCACTGAGGGGCTCATCCACACGGTTTCTGAACATTTGGAGGAACCGTGATTCTGCCACTTCCCTGGGAATCCTGTTCCAATACCTGAGCAGCCTCTCTGGTGATCAGGTCTTGGTGTTCCTGGTTTAAAGCACTGCTTGCGTGTTTGGCTAACTTTCCTCAGCTTTTCAGCGGATTTCAAGCCACAGCAGCAGTGATCGTCTGGTAATTTGTACATACAGTTAAAAGAATTTGAGTTAAACGAGTTGATAGGTTAGAGTTATAGTAGAACCAATAGGTGAGGCGTAACTACTTAGAATAGTTGAGGCTAGAAAAGGTCAATAAAGTCAAAGGAATAAACCAAGATTATAAGAGATGCAGCGTAATGGATTGCACTTGCTTATCTTAAGTACCTGTGCGCATTAGAGGAAAAAATTAACAACTTGGGTGCACTTACGTATAAAAACTCCGGGAGATGGACAAAAACTGCAGCCAGGACATTGTTGTTTCTGTTTGTGCAATTCATGTCTGGTTTTCTGTATATACAGTTGGTTCACAGAAAGTAAGCAAAAAAAGAAGTGGATGAAGAGTAGGTTAAAGTAGGTTAAATTCTAACTTTTAATAATACTGCTAGAGAAATTATTGACTTTTTCCTCAAATATGAAGCAGCATGCAGCAGAAAAAATGGAGTGGCCCAAAGGACGGTGACACTTGTTGGAGTTAAAAAAGTTTAAGCCCATTTTTTTTTTTTTTTAAGTCATACTACAGAGGTTCTAGAGTAAGGACTTTAAAAGGATTAAAAAAACATTATAAAATATAGTTATTAGGTGCCTTTGAAATTGAAAGGTATCTTAGGTGGGATAGGTCTTGCAGAATAATAGAATCATAGAGTAGTTTGGGTTGGCAGGGACCTTCAGAGGTCGTCTAGCTCAACCCTCCTGCAATGAGCAGGGACATCTTCAGCTGTGAGCTGTAATACTGTGAAAAGACAGAGATGTTATTGTAAGACACCGAAACTTGTCAAAAGTAGTGTAAAACATGGAACAGGACTCTTACAGTCTACTCAAAGTCCTCAGCTGGAGTAATTTCCCAGCATTGTGGTGCCGTTGCAGAGATGACAAAGACAAGCTGTAAAGTCAGGATTAGAGAAACATAAAAGATACAGCAGGCATTCCACCTTTAAGGAATGCTTGAAGGAATTGACTTAGTTTATTTTAGAAAAGGCTGAGAAGTTCTGTACATCATGTACTGAGAGTGGTGATTGCTTTCCCTATAGCTTGGGAAAGAAGTACCAAAGCAAACTAGCTTCAGAGAAGATGTAAGGAAAATACTGTTCTTCATTAGGAAAGTGCACTCGTGGTACATGCTTAGGATTTTTAAGGAGAGGTTAACAGCCGTCTGGCAGCAGAGGCATAGATTTTCTAAGTTCTTCGCCAGTGCTGGAGCTAGGACTTCAGTTTTGCAGGCTAAGGTAGACCTGTGGTTGTCTTTTTGGCCCTCCTAGTGTTTTTGTACAATCTGACAGAGGTTATAGCAGAAATCTTTGGGGCTGGTTTCTTTGACTTTGTACTACCTAATTCCATTCCATTTCTGTTACCACAGAGCTCTTTTCTCCAGAGACAATATTATATAGAGAAATAGTCTATTATATTTCTTTCTAAGGTTTCATGTCTCCCTGCCTTAAAATTATTCTCTCCTCTGAATGCTTCAGAATGTGTCTGTGTTGCTGCCCAAAGGCTTCCCGAGGAGTAAGAAAAAGGAAACTTCATGTAATTCTTGTCAGCTTCCCAGGTGTCTATTGAACTCTGAAAGCATCTCTGAAGCTGAACAGAATTGTGCTAGAAGATAAGTTACAGCAAAAAAGACAGTGAAGCTATACACAGAATTAGAAGGAGCATGCCTTTTTAACCCTTTAAATTCTACTGAATTTGTTGATAATACTGAAACCAAAGGTTTCTGTTAGATTCTTACATCCTCTGCAGCATTTCTTTCACTAGGAACTTACTGGACTTTACTGTTTAGTACTGCTGGACTTTTCATCAGTACCATATTTGATTTTTCAAAGGAAAAAAAAAATCAAACGGCTTTCATGTCTTCCCTTCTTACACTGCAAATTTAGATGAAAAAATCCCTGTGCTACTTTTTCTAAGGGCTCCAAAGTTAGAGATAGTTAAAGAAATCAGAGACAGGTGAGTTTCTCATTATACACACACATGCACAAATGTACGTTTAAAATACTTCTTTTTAGTGTAAATTATCTTGATCCTTTTTTCTTTGTTCTTTTGGGCTTGTGGCTCTTAGAATATTTCAGTGAAAAAGGAATATTCTTGGTTGACCTTTAAACCTCAAACTGACAACAGCTTTCAGAGTAAGATGTGTAAATCACAGTTTTCAGTCATACTTTCTGAGAAGATAGGTATGTTTCTTTGTGAGCATCAACAAGACTGTAGGAGGTAAGAATGAAACCTGCAGAAAACCTTAATTTGTGAATGTTTAATTATGTAAATCTTACAGATATCTCTACATGGCATAAAACAGTAAGCATGCAGGGAAGAGTGATGTAGCCTGGCATGGAATATCTTAACAGCTTGCTTGCTACAGGGTGAGTAGTCCTAAAGCATTGGTAAAGATAGTAACATCTGTGTAGATGCTGGGATGAACTCCAGTGACCTTACAGATGTATGTGTAAAAATTGCTGTTGTGCTGGAAAGCTCTGCTACCTCTGTGGTAACTTAAACCATCTTTGTCAGCTGTACTGACATCACCGTTTCCTATCATGATAATGAGAACTCTTTCCTTATACTGAAGCTTATCTTGCAACTCTTCAGTGTTCTTGGTTCTGTTACAGAAGAAGAGCTTCAGTCACTGTTCCTTTATATTCCTCAGGGGATCTTGAGCACCCTGGTTTAGTGGAAGGTGTCCCTGCCCATGGAAGAGGGGTTGGAGCTGGATGATCTTTAAGGTCCCTTCCAACCTTAACCATTCTATGATTCTGTGACCAGAATTGGTGAGTCTGTTAATATCCTGTTGCTGCTGTGATGCTTCTATAAGATCCTGAGAGAGCAAGGCTCTTTGGTATTACAGCTAGTGGATCCAGTGTCATACATTTCTTATGAGACACTGGACATCTAAGGTTACTTCTGTAGTGCTGTTAGAATGTTTAAGGGTTGCAGGAAGTTATATTTTTAGACAAGATAAATGTATATTTTC